CCTGGATCAAAAGAGGATCCCTGGGCCCGGGAAGTCTCACTCACTCGCCGGGCCTGCGCTCTGGGTCTGTTCAGGATCCTGCGGCCTCAGTCGTCTCACTCACTCGCCGGGCCTGCGCTCTGGGTCTGTTCAGGATCCTGCGGCCTCGGTCGTCTCACTCACTCGCCGGGCCTGCGCTCTGGGTCTGTTCAGGATCCCGCGGCCTGGGTCGTCTCCGTAGCTGGTGTTTTACATAGTCTTCTAAATGTTTAATTTTAAATTGCTCAGAGACACTTACTGTTAAGGCAACATGGTAAGCCCTGTGTGAACAAATTGTCCCCCGTAACATGTTTTCTAGCTACAGTTTTCTGTATACCAGAACTTTTCTGAAGGCAGTAGTTTTTCCAGTTATTTTGCTTAAGAACGGACATTATAATTTAAGCATTTAAATTCAGCATCTTTTGGTTTTGCTGGGTCAGTAGACGGCCTGAAGCACAGCACAGTGAGCACTTGAGTTTCCCCGAGGGTACCAGCTGAGGTCTAATGTGCTCTTGCTTAAGCTAATACTTACGTAACCTGCAATTCGGGGTCCTGAATATGTTCATTTGTAGTTCTTGGAGGCATGGTGCTTATTGAAGTGGGAACCTTTAATATCTATTTGTAAGATGTTTATCTGCTTGGCTCTGTGTTCTTTTGCAAAGAAGGATCACAGTCCCTTGGACTGACACGGTCCATTTCTTTTGGGGTAAACATCTCCGCAGCAGGGATGGTTTGCCTCTCCCTTTTCAGCTTCCCTCTAAGAGACCAAGTCCCACTCTGATCGCTCTGGGAAAGTGTCAGAAGACAGGTCTTAAGAGAACATTCTCGGGCTGGAGAGATGGCTCAGTGGTCTAAAGCACCTACTTAGAACAAGCTTGGCTAAAGCACAGGGACTGCAGTTCGATACCCCAGCACCACATGCCAGCCAGCCCTGCCCCCTGGTGGGCTGAGCTGTCCCCCCACACAATAAATAAATGTAAAAAAAAAAAAAGAGAACATTGTCAGAAGCCCCAGTCAGCAGGTAACCCCAAGTCAAATGCTGCAGTGTCCAGACCAAGGGGTTAGTTGTATGTTTTCTGGAGTTGACAGCAATTATTTAGGCTGATGTGCAGCATGGTCTCAGAATTTGTCTTGCACCTGTTTGCTGGCTTCTAGCTGAGCTTTTCTTTTCTGAGTTACAAAATATAAAAAATTGATGATACCCTTTGCCTTGGCCTTACTTTGGAGTTACTAATGGAGGCCCAACAGTACTGTACAAGTGATTTTTCATCTTAATATTTTATGAAAAAGCTTTTAAGGTAAAACACATCTCTGTGTAGAGATTATAGTTATATTTTACCTGTCAACATCTTTGCCACAGAGATCTCACTTTAGTAGCTGAAAAACAACAAAATATAAGTACTCTGGGCTCAGAGTTTATTTCACAAAGTGTGTGTACTAAGCCCTTTAAGTACTGCTTACATAAAAAATTACATTAAGACCTTTCCTGTCTGTTTATACTTGATGTGATACTCTGTTCTAACAGTCTTGGTTCTTTCCACCATAGTGACAGGCAGAGGACATAGCAATAGGCAGGAGTAGAGCTGCTACAAAAGGCATCAGTAGTAGCCAAAAGCTCAGGGATGTAGGGACTAAATCCTGGTATGAATCTGAAGGTCTCTTGGCAATCTCCATCTTGCAATCAAGTGTACGGATTGGGGATTTTAACAAGTGTTAGTTGTAGAAAAACAAAACAAAGACAAAAATTAATTTGTACTCAGCTGTGCTTCTAGTGGGCATGATGCCCTGCAGGAACTTGGAGTCTGTGACATGCACATTGAGTGGCTGTCACCACTTGGAATTAGACGTGAAGTCCAAACCCTTCCCACCCATCAGGCCCCCAGATATGAAGATGGTAGTTGAACTAATTACACAGGGCTGTGTATATGTAATGAACATGTCTATGTTCATTAATCAAGTGTTTAAGTTGCTCACAGCCTTTTGAAACCGATGCTGCTCATTTTCACTTGAAGTTTTCCCCTTATCTCAGATTGACATTATAAACTGTTGCATTAATAGGGGTGATTATGTGTATTTCATCCCAGCACTGGTGACAGGAAACCATCCTGGCCCTCAGGGCAAGATGGAAGGGGTACATGGGGGAAGGGCAGGCCCTAGAGGGCTGCACTTTACCTGTAAGTTGAAGTAGATGCTTAAGTGGAAGAGTAGTGGTCATGACCTTGGAAAAGACTAAAATCCTGGCCCTGCTTGACTATACCTTTTGAAACTCATTTCTTAGTCACAGGGAGGCAGTTATTAAAGGTGTTGAGGCAGAGGGCTGGCAGAAGCAGTCCATATTCTTGACTGGGAAAGACTATAGCCATTAGTTTGCTGCGGATCTGCTAGTTGAAGTGAGATGTTACAGGATCTTGACTGAGACGATGGCAGTAGGACCAGAAAGGGAAGAGCAGACCTCTATGTGTCGGTACATTTATGGCGGGTAGTGGGGCTTATTCTGTATCTTGAGCAAAAGAAGGACATTTTTCAATTAAGAATAAATGAAATAGTCTTGGAGACATAGAACCCTCAGGACCTTGTTTCCACTAAGCCTTCCCATCCTGAGGTAAATCAGCCTGGTAAGAGGGTCCTTTCCCCCGAGTTTACTTGGAGATTTTTGGATGTTTTGGGTTTTGCCAGGTGGAGGGTATGGGCTGGACAGAATCACATTAAAGCTGTTTTTCTCTGCTTTGGTCCATTCCACCACAGAAAAGATAGAGGAGATCTACAGAGCTTTCATTAAGGAATCTGGCGTCCAGTTCAGCGAGCTGGAAGGGCAGGTGCTCCAGTTCCATCTCAGTAACCTGGAATACGCCTGCGGCAGCAACCTCCACCAGGTGCGCACGTTTGTGAGACATGCGTGGAAAATACTTGCTCTTGCATATGTGCTGCTTGCAGATCTAAGTGGAATTGGTGCTGGCTTGGATAAGCAGGCAGGAATGACTGTTGGAGCACTACAACTTCAGGGCATTATTAATCCCATGCTGATTATTTTTGGTTTTTGAGATAAGACCTCACTACACAATTTATGCTGGCCTTGAAATCACTAGGTAGCCCAGGCTGGCCTCCGTCCCACAGTTAACCTCCTGCCTCAGCCTCCTGAGTGCTGGAATTACAGGCATGCACCACCATACCTGGCTCCACACTGGTTTTTAACTTTGCTTTTAAGCTAGAAAAATCTTCCTTCAAGTCCTGTGTGAAAATGCTCAACCTACAGAACCTAAGAGAGGAGGACTGCCAGTGAAACAGGGCAGGGCCACGAGCCCCATCCTGTGGCTGCTCCCTTTTTTTTTTTGTCTGCTGCAGAGGCCCTGGGGTCATTTCTGTGGAACTGTGGAGCCTAAAAACACTGTTCTCAGGAAACCTAAGACCAGCACCCTCGCAGTTCTGGCCTGATTACCTTCTAGAAAATGAATTTAAACTTGCTGTACTCCTTAACCAACTGCACCTGGCACTTCAGCATTCTGTATTTTGAATAGAAGCTCCACAGATGATTTTTTTTTTTTGGGGGGGGGGGACTGGGGATTTGAACTCAGACCATTGTGTTTGCTAAGCAAGCACTTATTCTACTGAGCCATCTCCCCCGGCCCTCCATAGATGATTGAATCTGTTTCCACTGAGTCTGCTTTACAACTGGGATTGCAGCATTTTGCAGAATCTTGCTGGGTTTCCCCCTGTGGGGGCTTTCTGTGCGGAGGACAGCTAGTGGGCATATTTATTGTGGAGCTGATGGAATGCACTTTCACTCCATAGGATGTCCCTTTGCTAAAGATGAGACTATACAGAATCAACTTTTATATTTTAAGATCAGTGACTGCTACCCATACCGAAGTGATTCAGAACTTTGTTCTGAGCTACTCTCCTCTACATTATGCAGAGATTCCCTTCCACCTGACAGTAGCGTTCGCTGAGCTGCTCTGCTCTCCCCCCCTTTCCTGATGTCTGCCACAGAGTCGGTGGCCCTGCCCTCCTGCTCTGGATGTCAGTTCCTGCCTGGAGCCCCTTTTGGGGACCCTCGTCCAGGCATGAAGATGTACACTGCCAGGTCCCAACACCTCCTGTTGTCTCCCAGGTGTCTGCTCGCTCCTGGGATCACAATGAATTCTTCGCCCAGTTTGCTGGTGACCACACTCTCCTGACTCCTGGGTACTATGTCATCATTGAGAAGCTGGCTGAAGGGCTGGACATTCGGCTCCAGGCTCCGGTGAGCACTGGCAGGTGGGAGGCTCTGGCTCTGCCCTGTTTTGGGGCGTGCATACTGGGGCCTATGATTCTCTGAAGACAGGTTTTGCTCACACGCCTGTGGCTTTGTTCTGTTCTTTGTAGCCTGTGGTCACAGCATTGTCCCTGTCAGGTCACAGCTATTGCTTGGAAGCCGTAGCCCATGCCCATGTTCATTAATGAAGTGTCTTAAGTTGCTTACAGCCTTTTGAAACCGATGCTGCTCATTTTCACTTGAAGTTTTCCCCTTATCTCAGATTGACATTATAGACTATTGCATTAATAGGGGTGATTATGTGTCTTTCACTCTCCACTGTATCAGTTTTCCTGTGCCTTGTCATGATGTTTATAGATCTTAATTCCCTGAGTTCAGCTATAAAGGTTGCCTAGATCACTTCATGCCAGGGAGTGAGTCCCTGCAGCCTTAGAGATGTAAACTTACCTAATGGGAATCAGCTAGGATGCTGCATCACACGGTTCCAGCTCTCTTTTTTTTTTTTTTTTTTTTTTTTGTAATTGTCTTGTCTTGGGAAGGTCCAGAGCATTAATTACACTGGAGATGAAGTGCAGGTCACCACGACAGATGGCACGGGCTATTCTGCACAAAAGGTAAGTGCTGGCCTTCACTAGGCTGCATGCTGTGCTGCCCACCAGGGGCCGTGGGGAAGGCCAGATCTTTTCCTATGGTGTAGTTTGCCTGTGTGGTCCGCCTGGAGCTTTGTTGGATTCTGACAGATTAGCACTGTCCACTCAATTGCATGTAGATGTGCAAATCTGGTTGCATTGATTCAGTTCTGTCTGGCTTCACAGCTGGTGGAATTTAGCTAATTTTCTCAAAATGCTTTCCATGGTACATTGATCCTGTGAGTTAAGCAAAAAAAAGAAATTCCTTGGCCAATCTGGCCTATAGTCCTAGCACTCTTGAGAGGCTGAGGCAGAAGAATTACAAATTTAAGCCCAGTCTGGGCAATTTAGGGATTTAGTGAGATCCTGTCTCAAAATAAAAAATTAAAAAGTGCTGGGTCTGTGGCTTACAGTGAAGGCCCTGGGTTCAGGAGTTCCTTAGCTAGGGGCTGGGGCCGTGCCTCAGTGATAGAATGCTTGCTTTGTATGTGCAAGGCCCTCACACATTCCAAAAAATTGTTTTTTCTTATCCAAATAAGGTAGTTATGTGGTACACTGTACTTTTAGGTTAAAAGAAATACATTAAAGGCTCCAAGAAGTCCTGCATTAAAGAAATTTACCTTTAATTTTCTGCTTTTTACCATGGAATCTTTTCCACAACAAAAAACAAAAATTCTGTTTCCATTTTGAAGCTGTGCTTTTATGTAATTTAGGCACTTTTACATACGCTTTTGTAGGCAGTCTTGTGAGCTGTATAGTAGGAGGCCCTGTGCTCAACTCACAGCAGGTTTTTGTAGTTCTGAACACCAAAGGCCCTGCCTTGCGGCCAAGAGATCTGATAGCCCTCGGAAGCCGTCACTCGGCTCCAGACCCACTGCTGCCTTTTGCTCCTCCTGGACCTTGGTCACCATACAGCAGTGCATGTTGCCTGGGAAGAACAGGCCTGGAGGATGGGCTGCAAGGGTGCGTCCCAACACTGTTTCTGCCATTAGCTGGTTGGGAGACCAGGGGCTAGCAGTTTCTTAGCCTGGGCTGTGGTTTGGAATCCCCTGGGAGGAGCTTGCAGGAGGAGGTGCACAGTCCATCCTGCTGAGACTCACTGGGTCTCATGAGTTGTGTTTCTAACTTCCCAAGTCCAGTGTGTGGCTTGGTTATGTCACCATGTAGTGTCCTCATCTGTACGCTTGTGAGAGCCTAAGGTTCTTCTAGTAGGGAACGTTTCTTAAAAGCCCACCTTTTTAAATTCTAGTTCTGAATTTAGCAGGGGGTATCTGGGCAGCACCCTGGCTATGCTTTTCTCCGCTTGGTTACCTAGGCCCAGTTCTGCCTAGGCCCAGTTCTGCACCGTCCATCTCTGTAGTTTAACCTTCCAGAGAGGCAAGGGCATAGCTACAGAATGTACTTCAAAAATGTTTAAAAATAACTTTAAATAATGTTTAAAACAAATACTTTTATTTGGGGCCGGGGAGGTGGCTCAGTAGAAAAAGTGCTTCCCTGGCAAGCGCAAGGGCCTGAGTTCAATCCCCGGTTCCACCAAAAAAAAAAAAAAAAAAAAGTTGGCTTACAAATATTTTTATTTTTTATGTAGCTAGCACTCCGCAGCTGGTTTTGGAGATCTCCCCAAGCATGTGAGAGGACGCTTTCCAACTCAGTGACAGACCTAACTGTGGACGAACTGTAATGCAAGCAGGGTGGTTCTACTGGGGCCTGGTGGTGGCTCCTGGCCAGAACGTGTTCATACCATTTGCCTGCTTGTTCACTCAGCTTTTTGAAGCTTTTTTTTTTTTTTTCTGGTCAAGAGGAAGACAATTAGATTTTCTTTGTTTCCTTGCCATTCTCATGTATCATTCAGATGATTGAGTTTTGTTATTTGCTGGTGGTGGTTTTTAACCAGGGAGGCTGTTATCTATGAACCAGTGTCAACTTCCTGAGAACACAAAGCGTATTTTCTACCTTGTAAAGTTTTCATGTGGCAGAACATAGTTACAGAAGTGACAGGAAGGCTGTTCTACCTTCTGAGACCCTGGGATTAGGGTGACATCAGATCTGTGAAGTCTTTGGTAAGGCCTGAGGTGCATGGATGCTTGCTCCAGCTCCATTCTACGCTCCTCCTGTGGACATGGAAAACAGAACATGTACGCACATGCGCGTGTGTGCATACACACTTGTATACTCTCCCCGGCTCCTGGCAGCCCAGGCCAGGCCTGGCCAGCCCCACACCCTTCTTGTCTGAGCTTTGGCAGGTGTGTTTGGGCTTGCCTTGTGCTGCCTCTGCTGACAGGCGTAGTGTCCCTGGGAGTAGGGACAGGAGAGGTTCCAGGACGCAGCTGTCAACCACAGGAAGTCAAGAAGAGGGCAGGAGGGGCTTGTTGGCTGGTGAAAGTGGCTGTTCGTGATTGTAGCTCTTTGATGGCCTGGGTTTATCAGGTGCTTTGAAAATCCTTGTGACTTGAAACTAACGTTCAGCCTTCTCCTTCAAAAACACTGTGGTTTTCTAGGATTGTAATTCTCATGTTGCAGTGTTTTATATTTATGAAGCACCATGATGTACCTTAAATTTTAAACATTACTGGGATTCTCCGAGGTTATTAGAGCAGGTCTTGCCATGCGCTAGTATCAGGAACAGTAGAGGAGGTTCTCCTAACCCCAGGTGTTGGGCTGTTTCCTTTTATAGCCCTACTTTTCAGGCTTGGCCTGGGCTCTCTCTTCAGATGCAGAATTGTTGCCTTTATGCAGATTTCTCCTGTGGGTGCCCCTTCTTGGCCAGGTGCCCTTGGGCAGTGAGCAACCTGCAGGACTGCTCAGGGCATCCACTGTTGATCTAGGATAACCACATGCGATGCTGACAGTCTTGTGCCTGGAAATATGAGGAATGTGCCTTGGGTGTTGATTTTCCTGGAAATGAACCCACTGGGTAGATGTCCTTTTCGATGTGGCTATTCTCTGTGTGTGTTAACTGTAATTGTTTCCCACAGGTATTAGTCACTGTTCCACTGGCCATACTTCAGAAAGGTGCCATTCAGTTTAATCCACCACTGTCAGAGAAAAAGATGAAAGCTATCAACAGCTTGGGCGCTGGCATCATTGAGAAGGTGACTAGCAAGATTGGTGTCAGATGACACGACTTGTGCTACAGGGAGATACAGGGACATTTTTGAAACAAAATAAAACTCAAAGATTTCATTTGAGTAACTGTTCGTGAAGGATTCTGAAGGCTGGTATCCAGCTTGAAACAAGAGACTGGCTGAAGTCTGAGTTCTGGCCTTCTAGAAAATGAAACCTGTTATTCAAATTGGATTTGCTGTAAGCACATCTGGGAATAATGACACATGACATGAGGGAACCATGTTCCGAGGTCAGGGCACCATGCTGGGCTGGGGTCATCAGGGGATCTCAGGGAGCTGGTGGTGTACAAACAGCATGAAGCCAGGCATGGCAATGCCCATCTGTTATCCCTGCTAGTGTAGGTGAGCAGAGGAGAAGCTGTGATAGAAAGAACCCAGTCTAGGCAACTTAGCAAGACCCTGTGTTAAAATACATTTTAAAAGGCTGGATGTAGGTCAGTGATAGAGTTCTTACCTAGCATGTGCAAGACTTGGGCTTGGCCCCTTGTACTGCAACCCCCCCCAGGCAAGAAGTTCACGAGAGAGAACCAAGGAAATGAGAAGATGGGAAGGATGAAAGGTCTTGAACATGTGCAATTTTGAAAAGGAAGCATTTACCCACCTTCCTCTTGCTTGTGTTCCAGATTGCCTTGCAGTTTCCTTACAGATTTTGGGACAGTAAAGTTCAAGGGGCTGACTTTTTTGGTCACGTTCCTCCCAGTGCCAGCCAGCGGGGGCTGTTCGCTGTGTACTATGACATGGATCCTCAGGTAAAGTCCTCTTCTTGAAAGTGGAATTTAGTGATCACTCACATGTCAGGCTCAGGGACAAAGGAATATTGTGGAGATCGTGTGTGTGTGTGTGTGTGTGTGTGTGTGTGTGTGTGTACAGGCCCATGTGATTGTGGGTGGTGCTGGGGATTGAACCAGGCCTGTACAAGAGGTTTGGCTGAACTACATCTAAGCTATTTTTGTATGAGTTTTTATTTTTTAATTTTTAATTTTGGTACATGTTTGCAATACATGATTACATTCATCCTAGGGGATGGGTACAGATACAGAATACTGTACATCTTAATTCTTTGTTCATTCAAGGGGTTGATCTAAAGTTTTCCCTTCAGTTGGATCCTTGTCTAGTTTTGGAGTCACTTTGGGAGTACTTCTTCCCTTCCTATTTCAAGAGTGAGTCTTGGGGCTGAGGAGATACCTCAGTAGAATAAGTGCTTGCCTGACAAGCACAGGGTCCGGAGTTCAATTTCCGGTACTGCAAAAAAAAAAAAAAAAACATTTAAATAAATAAATAAAGAGTGAGTGTTGTTGTTAGATCTTCTCTGAAGTTCTTGTAGACCTCAGTGGTGAGTCCTGGGCTTTTCATGGTTGGTTGGTGTTTCGCTACTGCTTCAGTTTCATTGGCTGGAATTCACTGGTTTGGAGTTTTTATATCTGCTTGGCTCAGTTTTAGTAATTCATATGTATAGAGTTCATTTCTTCAGCTTCTCCAATTAATGGATTACATGCTTTTGAATAGTGATTAATAATTTGAATTTTAGTGGTATCCATTGTGACTTAGTCATTTTCATTTCTATTTTTTTAAAGGATTTATTTTATTTTGGTACAGGGTCTACAGGGTCTCACTACACAGATTGGACTCATAGTGATCCTCCTGTTTTCAGTCTCCCAAGCACTGGGATTACAGGCGCACACTACCATGCCCAGTCTCCGTCTTTTTCATTTTTTTTTCTTTTCTTGGTGGTACCAGGGATCAAACTCAGGACTTTGCACTTGCCAGGCAAGCACTTATTCCACTGAGCTATCTCCCTGGCCCTATTAATTTCTGATTGCATTGATTTTGACATTTCCTTTCCTTTTTTGGTAAGCTTGGTTAAGGATTTGTCTATTTCATTAAGTCTTTCAACGAACCAACTGTTGGATGCATTGATTCTTTGTAGTTTTTATAGTCTTGATTTCATTAATTTTTGATCTGAGATTTATAATCTGCCTTGCTCTAGCTTTGTATTGGACTGTTCTTGTTTTTCTCAGAGCGTGAGGTATATCATTAGGTTATTTACTTGGGCTCACTCTTTTCTGATACGGACATGGACCACTATAAACTTCCCTCTTTGGATTACTTTCATTACCGGTTTCCTATAGGTTCTGATGTGTTGTGCTGGCAGTACTATCTGATTATTATAAGAACTATACAATTTTCCCTTGATTCCCTCTGTGACTCACTGGTTATTCAGAAGTACATTGTCTGATGCCCATGTATTTACATAATTTCTGTCATTTTCCCCCCATTGAATTCTGGTTTCATAGTACTATGATCTGATAATATGCATGGGACAATTTTGTTTCTTTTATATTTATTAAACTCTGTGGTTTGAATGTGTGTTTGTGATTAAATGTTACTTTCTTGGTTCAAGCTGGCCTGGAGCTCACTAGGTAGCCCAAGTTGGCCTCAAACTCAGGGTGATTCAGCTTCTGATATTTCTTTATTGATTTTTTTGGTCTAGTTTATCTGTTTATTTCTGATAGTGAGGTATTCAGATCCTCCACTGTAATTGTGTTTATGTCCAGTAGAGTTTGTTTTATGAAGTTGGGTGCACCAGTGTTTGGTGTATATATAGTTATAATTGTTATCTCTTCCTGTTGAACTGTTTATTCTTCCTTAACCAGAATGTAGCGACCTTCTTTGGTTCAAATCAGTTTCGGTGTGGAGTCCACTTCGTCTGAAAGTAGAACACACACTCCTTGTTTTGGGCTCTCGTTGTATAGACGATTGTTTTTCATCCTTTATTTCTTAATCTATAATTTCTTTTTGATTATGTTTCTTACTGTATACCATTGGGTTGTTTTTTTTAAAAATATGTTAAGTTTTGTCTTTGGCTTGAGAGATGCACTTTGGAGGTGATTAGAGAAAGGAAATCAATTTATTCCTATTAATAGGCCTTTTCCTTTGTCCTAAGGTCTGAACAACTTTGTTAATTTGGAGAGGGAGGGTATGGTGCAATTGGCCCAGCACCCATTTGTCCAGAAATGAGCTACAGTAATGTTAGTGGCACAAAGCAGGTGCTGGCATACAGTAAAAACTAATTAATAGCAACAGTTATGCCATCCTTGATTATAGCAAAACAATCAGCAATCATAATAAGAATCAAAGACAAACTGGATAATAGCATGCCGTAAGAACCAGTAAAACTACGACTACGATCCATAGTAGGAGAAAAGAGGTGTGCAGTAAAGATACAGGCACAGAGACAAGCCAGATACCCCAACACAATAAATGCCTACTAAATTCAACAACTACCACTATCAGCAGTACAAAAGAATTTGACAGTAATAGCATAGTCAACTAAATAGGTAAAGATTAATAAAGCTTGATGGTAAAAAATGCAGGGGGTGGGAAGAGGGAGATGAATGAAGGAAAATTTGAAAAATAAAAAGATGAGAAAGAGTAAAGGGAGATACATGATTGAATTCAGGAACAAAAGGAAACTAATAGAATTACATCAGTAATAGAAAACAAAGAAAAAAGCACAAAAGAAAGGAAGAGGTGGGGGGAGGGAAGAGGACATAAAAGAATTGTGTTGTGTTGTGTACATATACAAACGTTTCACAGTGACTGTAATCGTTACATACTAAAAACATGTACTAATAAATGTTAAAAGTTTTAAAAGAAAACAAGAGCCTAAAGCAACCAATGAAAGAAAAATGGATCAAAAAACTTGCTGTATGTGAGCGGCTTCTTTCCAGGGGGTGGACTGTTGGGGTCTGTGTGGTATGGCAGGGGTCACTACTCAGGCCCTCATGTTTCCACATGCTGCATGTGAATGCCGAGTCCTGCCTGTTTCCTGCTAGGTATGGTTGGTCAGTGCTGTCTGCTCTAAGGCTGTACCTGCTGCACATGCTCCCAGTTTTCCCTCCTGTGCACCACAGTCACAGCTTTCTCTGCCTAGCTTTATTGCTTTTGGATTTGAGAGGTGCTCCCACCCCTCTCTGCTCCAGAGGCCCCTGTCCATAGACTCTAGGTAGTGGCAACTGGCCACAGCCAAATGTGTTCTGATCATGTTGACAGATCGGAAAAGTAAACAGACCACTGGGTTGTACTGGGTGTAGGCATCAGGGAAAAGGCTTAAGCACTTTGCTGGACTTAATGCAAGCACTTTAAGACCTTTCCCCTGAAAACCACATGTCCTTTTTGGCCCGAGCCTAAAACTTCTGGGCATGGGAGGTCTATGTCTAGCCAACACTTTCTCCATAGCCGTCTCTATGGCTGTCTCCCATCCAGTCATTGTGGTAGCAAGACCCCAGAAACCCTGAAGTGTAGTTGTTGTAGCTTCTGATTCCTGGAGTATATTAATCTTAACCCCTTCCAAGGATGGCTCCTGATTAAACACTTTCAAATATGGCAGGTGGAGCTTCCGGGATAGTTCAGTGTTTAAGTGCCTGCTTAGAAGGAATCCTGGGGCTGGGGAGATGGCTCAGTGGAATAAGTGCTTTCCTGGCAAGTGCAAGGGCTTGAGTTCAATCCCCGGTTCTGCAAAAAAAAAAGAAGGAATCCTATTCTGGTGCATGGGACCACAGTTCGATCCCCAGCTCCACATACCTTAACAGACCTGCAATTAAGGCAGACTGAGCCAGAAAAAAAAAAAATCAAATATGGCAGGCACTGTGCTTCATTTCTTTTTCCAACTCTAGCCTGTCATAAGGAGTTTCTGGCCAGGGATGTAGCTCAACGGCACAGTGTCTGCCTGACAAGTACAAGGTCTTAAGTTTGATTCTTGGTCCAAAAAAACCAGAAGAAAGGTGCTTCCTTTTACATAAAACCCCGTACTGGTATTTCAGTTGATGGGGACTGTGGGCTTTTCTTTGGGCACGTGCTGCTGGCCTAGGCTGTCATTCCTTTTGGGGCTGCTGACCCTTTCAGGGCATGCTGTATGCTTGCAGACACAGGTCTCCTCTCTGAGAACTGGAATTCAGGTTTCAGACTTCTTCATTCTCTCAAAAAGAGAGTCTCCCTGTAGTTTCTAGCTTTCCTGTTGCTTCTTTCTTTCTGGTTAGGTTTGAGACAGGGTCTCACTTTGTAGTTCAGGCTGGCCTTGAAGTCACTATGTAGCAGTGCTCAAGCTTGGAGTGGTCCTCCTGCCTTAGCTTCCAAAGCACTGGGGTTACTAGGCTGCGCCACCAAGTCCAGCTATGTAGTTCTGGTCTCAAGTCCTGGAGATCTGCTTAATTTCTTTGCTAAATTGGTTGTTTTTCAGGTGACTTGATTCCACACCTAGTTGAGGATGTGTTCTGCTGCATGTCTTTGCCATTTTTAATCACAGCATTTTGGTTGTGTTTAGTCAGGGAGGACACTTGTGCTGGGACATTTTCCTATGGGCAAGGAACTTAATGTTGCTGTATTTTCTTGAAGTGTTAATGGTGTGCCCTGGATGTGAAGTGGTGCCTGTGCAGTGTTCTTTCGGGCTGAGGAATTCCTCTTCGGTATAGCTGGCCAGGGTGCAGTAACTGAGTGGATCTGAAACTTCCTCTCACAGTCTTCTCCTAAGCGAGAGTGATGGGGTGTATTTGGTGCAGAGGTGGAGGCAGGAAGCGGGAGGGCGTGTCATGGCTTTGGGGCTGTCATGGCTTTGCTGCAGCTATGTTGCTGCCACACAAAAGCTAATTCCCACTTTCTCTTGGTTCCAAGAGGCTTTGTTTTAAGCAGGCTTCATGTGGGAACTGAGCAGTTTCTTTGCTACTTGACGTTTTTTCCCCCATTACTTTTTCTGCAGCTTCCCCAGTCAGTCTCGTTATTTTTGAAATAAGATTTGTTATGTGAAGAGCCCAAGGAACGCTGTGCTACTTCCTGAGTGGTGGTGGTGGTGGTGGTAGTGGGGGTGGAGTTCTCCCCAACAGACACTAGTAGGGTGGGTAGAGGAGTAGTGTGTGAGAATACCTATTCTTACAGTGCCTGAAGAGTACTGTAATGGAATTCAGTTTGTGAGAACAGGAATTTCGTGTGGAGCTGAGCATTTAGACTGACCAAAAGCAAAATGAGCTGCCTTTCTCTTTGCCTGCAGAAGCAACAGAGCGTGTTGATGTCGGTGATCGCTGGGGAGGCAGTGGCATCAGTTCAGACCCTGGATGACAAGCAGGTGCTGCAGCTGTGCATGGCCACCCTGCGGGAGCTGTTCAAGGAACAGGTCAGAGAGGCTCTCGGAAGGAGGCCACATTCAGTGTGCTCAGCAAGCTCTTCTGAGGGGGAGGGAGCCAGAGCCACCGCCTTGCTGTGTGTGGATGTGGAGGGGGGAGTGTCAAGGTTGTAGGCTCCGTTATTTTCCCAAGAATTCCCCTTTTTACCTGAGTTGCCCAGTTAGTGTGCTAGGGCTACTGTAACTCAGGGTAACTCAGGGCCTCAGAACAAGTGGCTCAGGCAGCAGATGTTGCTTTCTGTCTGGGGGCTGCAAGACCATGATCTGGATGGCAGAGGATTGTGTCTGTGTTGTCCCTCCTCCTGTGAGGAGACACCAACCAGACTGGTGTAGGCCCATCTCCCAGAAGACCCCATTTTGACTTTTTTCTTTTTTTTGATGGTACCAGGGATCGAACTCAGGACCTTGTACTTGCCAGGCAAGCACTTATGCCACTGAGCTATCCCCCTGGCCCAACTTACTTTCCAAAGACTGTCTTCAAATACATTCCCTTTGTGGGTATTGGGGACTTCGACCTAGGAATTGGGGTAGGGGAAAGGACAGTTGAAACACTGTCCAGTCCCTACTTTTTTTTTTTTTCAGTCCCTACTTTTTACAGTAGTCTTCTTTCCTCTCTTCACATCACATACTTTCCTAAAGATGAAAAAGGTTTAGATTTGCTATAGATTGTATATTTACCAAACCCTAGCTTTGACTGCAGCTCCCTTTTAAAGGACATTGTGGAGAATTTTCTGTATCTCACATCAGCAGTCTCTTTTATGTTTTGAATTTAGTACAGGGTCTACAGGGTCTCACTATGGAGATCAGACTCGCAGGGATTCTCCTGTTTTCAGCCTCCCAATGCTGGGATTACAGGCGCATACCACCATGCCCAGTCTCAATTGCCATCTCAGTGTGTCTTGCTGGTGGGGCCAGCATGGCACACTGGGGATCAAACCCCAGCACTGCGATCTGCCTAAGCCAGTGCTTTAACTTGCTGAACTATCAGGCTGGTCTATCAGCCTCTTTTTTCTTTGAGGGGCTCAAAGTACAAGTTTTCTCTTACAATCTGTAGAGATTTGTAAATGGCTACGCTTATTGCCTTTTTCAAATTAAGAGAAAGTTCTGGAAGTTACTTAAAATTACATATATTAAAAGAAGGGGGCATCCAGTTGTGTAGCCACTTTTATGGAAAAGGGTGTAACAGTGATGTGATTGTACAGTATAGAAAGACATAGTATTTATGGGGCTTTATGCTCAAAAGTTTGTTCTTACACTAGTTATTTGAAATGTAGCAGTTTGCAGAGGAATAGTTGCCATATTGATGGTTGTCAGAGGACAGCAGGCAACTCATTTAATTAATGTAAAATATATCCTTGATTCACGGTTTTGTGGAGAAGCCTGTTGGGACTTTCAGCCAGTGCTTACAGGACTCCCCTGGGCCAGGCGCCTGAGAAGGAAAGGCTGAGTTCAGCCATCATGACAGCCCCAGAAGGTGAGCAGACTGCGTCACTGACAGATGAGGGTGAAGCGAGGACATTGTGTGCAGCATGGTGCAGGCCAAGAATTTACAGGCTGGGGTGGAACATACTCATTTTGGGGTACAGCTATACTAATCCTAGATCCCTAGGTTGGCAGGAATGTGCATTTCTAATTTGAGTCACATCATATCTGAATTACTTATCAGTTCTCTTTTATAATTGCTTCTACTGTACACAGGAAGTCCCAGATCCCACAAAGTACTTTGTCACTCGATGGAGCACAGAACCATGGATCCAGATGGCATACAGTTTTGTGAAGACGTTTGGGAGTGGAGAGGCCTATGATATTATTGCGGAGGAAATACAAGGAACTGTCTTTTTTGCTGGCGAGGTATCTTGATTCCAAGCTCAATTGCTCGTATTTTGATTTTTCTTCTAATTAAGGAGTTTCCTACCCAGTTTAAAAACCAAATTAGTATCATTCCAGGTCTTTAACAGTCAGCAGAGGCCTTCTCAGTAGCAGAAGCCAGCCTCATACTCAGAGGCTGCCATTTTAACTCTTCCAACCATTTCTTATGGACTTTCCTTCCATCATCTGATTTTGCCAGGCAGGATTATCTCCTGACTTCCTGTTAGACTAAAATCTTAGTCAAGTTAGTCTCAGCACCATTCTTATCTCACACTGGCAATTAGATTGGTATCCGTTCTGTCACATGGCTCAAATGTTTATTGCTGTGCCAAGGTGTTCAGACTGCCCAGGGTCAGTACCTCAATCCTGTTCTTGAAGTGCAATCTCTGAGGGGCTGCTGACACAATTTGGCGAGACAGTTGTTCTTGTAGTCTTTAAACCAGTTGTTTTGACCCCATAGTAGCCTGGTCCTCCCTTGGCTGACTGTAAGGATTGCTTGCAGAATTGTTTGCTTTGTGTTGCTACCTTTTCTCCCACCCCAAGCATGAATTGTTAAGCACTTTCATTTGCAGTTATATATTGTATATTTGAGGTTACAGGTCTCAGATAGCTGGAAGTGTTACGGTTTTGTCTTGTCAGTGATTGATAACAGTGCCATCTTAACTAGATGAGTACTCCTGGACCTCTGGAGAGTGACCCAGGCAGGTGGCGTAGTGGCTGCACATCAGGCACTAGTCAGGCACTTCCAGGGAAGACTTTTAGACTGAGCTGAGCCACCCCAGGGGCAGGCAATTTAGAATCTTTTCTGTATTACCTCAACTTCTGCAAGCCCATTTCTATGAGGTTATTGCCACATTCTCTTCACTATTACTCACAGTTCTTAATTCAGTACATGGCACAAATACTCAGTATTTTAATGGATGCCACATGGTACTTTGCAGTTGAATGCTACAGAATCACAATGTATCTGGCAGGGCCCAGTAAAATAACCAGAGTAGGTCAACGCAGGGGTGGGTATGCAGTGTCCATAAGGTCTGAGCAGCAGCATGGCTTTTATTTTAGGAAGACTAGAGTGTAAGCTTCCTACAAGACTACCTTTTTAGCAGATGATATCAAAGCATAAATTTTTTTTTTTTATTTTCACAGGCAACGAACAGGCATTTCCCACAAACTGTTACAGGGGCTTATTTGAGTGGTGTTCGAGAAGCAAGCAAGATTGCAGCCTTCTGAGTAGAATTTGTCTTGATCCAGCTTTGTCCTGTGCCCCAAATGGGAAAGTCTGAAACAGGTTAAACCTCAATGTGCGTGTGTGTGTGTGTGTGTGTGTGTGTGTGGCTGTGTACACACCCGCTCAGGATAGCAAATCTAAAATGTTCTAGAGTGTTGAAAATGTAAATGCAATTTACCACTCGGAAAGCACTGCCCCTAAAGTCCTTACAAACAAGCACTTATGTTTATAATTGCATTTTCCACAGGTCCAGGTAGCTAGTGCTAAAGTCCTCTGGATTTCACAATATGGCAGAATATAACCTTAAATTGAGTAAGATTAGCTTCTTCCATGGTTGGAGGTTCCCTTAAGATTTGATAATTTGTTGAGCTGATGAATTTTCATACATCACAAAACCAAGAAAACCAAGCAGAAATCATTAACTAGATAAAGCCATGTGTTCTGTGAAAACTTACCATTATCTTTACCAATGAGCCTTAATATTTTATATAGCTCCAGTATTAAATCTGTACTTACAATTTAGATACAACTTTTTTTGATACACAATCTCTGAAGGCAAAATGAAGTTTCTAGAAGACTTTTATATTGTACATATTTCTTTCCCATTGGATATTTACAAACAAGCTAAATTCAGGTATTTCCTGTGATGTCTTATATTTACACATCCATTGGCAGAACAGCAAACTCTCAACCCCTAAACAGCATGGGGACCATACAGTTGAGAACAGGTTGCCAAGTGTGGTCTGTATACTGTAAGCATACAGCTTTTTCTTGAAGCCAAATTTGAGTGGATAGTGAAGTTTTAGTATCTTAAATTTTGGCAGCCACTAGCAAAGATCTTGTCAGAATAAAAACTCAGTTTTAAAAACTGATTCAATCTCTGGGAATATTTTTTGCATAATTATGTTTTGTTTTCCATAGGCAGGTCCACTGGAAAACAAGTCTTAGTAAATACATTTTATAAACCATTATCTTACGAACCTGACATGGCCAGATCTGCTTTTCATTTTTTCACTTTTGACAAAATATTGTTCAATACATAGATTGCAAGGTCTTCAGGATGCCTATTTTGCCAAGAAACTTCAATTTACAGATTAGAAACGTGCTTTTGTTTTAAAAAGTCTTTGAACAACTCTGAATTATATTGGTCTGTTTTAATAAAGGGGTTAAAAATTACTTCAAAGCCACTTTTCAAAGTATTTGGTATTTTTGAAATTTAAAATAAATCAGCTTGTAAGTAAATAATCTTATGCAAAGAATGTACAGTAAACTTTATAGTTTAGACACTTCCCCCACCCAAGTATGCCACAGAAGAAAGCCAATAGCTGTACATTTCAAAGTAAAGAGAGGGAAGTTGTGATATTTAGGTTGAGACTCATTGGTACTGATTAGGAAGTATTCTCCTTAAGTGTTACGTGATAAGTTGTTTGATAGCATGTGGTAAGGGACAAGTGCAAAGTATGCTGACATGTGTCTTCAGGTTCTTTGTCCGGGCACTTAAAACTTGCACCATGCTACCTACAAGCAGGGAAAAACCTACTTAAAGCATGGTACATGTACTTAAAAACTTGTTTCTCAAGTGATGTAATTTATTTACATTTTGTTAAGAACAATGGTAATTTTGAGTTTTCAATGTTACTTGAAGATTCTGTAATTGAGCAGCAGTGAATACACACATTTACAGTGACTTCACTTCAGATCATGAGTAGCTGGTCATGCAAAACTGCTTAATAAAAACTAGACTTGTTTTTCAGATATCCTGTGTGTATTACTGCAGCAAAGAACACTGAATACTTATTAAATGGGGATGTGATCAAGAACTATTACACACACACAGTTCCCTTACTTCCAAACCCTCTTTATACATTCAAGTCAGTGGCATTTAGTCCTTATCCCCCTCATAGTAAATAAATGTCATAAATTTAACCTTCATCTATAGTTTTCTGAATCAGATCACTTCAGCAGTGGTCAGTTATCAGTAAAAAGAAATTCTAAATCATCCCAAGTTATCGGGTTAACTCCATTTAAAAATCCTGACCCTAGTGGTAAATAATACTTAAACTAGAGATGAGTTAAAAATATTGAATAAGAGACTTAAAACACAGATTTTTTTTTTTATTGACAAAGTTTACAGGAACAAATTAAATATTTAAAATCAAAAGCCAAATTTTAGGTCTCAGTTGCTTTTCTCATTCATCTGTATTCAGTGTACCTTTTCCTACTGTCCTAACTTTTGTCAAGAAACAAATCTGTGAAAATACCTCAATGTTCAACATATATCAATCTTACATATTTCTGTTGTATGACACAAAGATTTTAGAACACTCAACTGGTACCTCAAATACCTAATTCTGTCATAAGCAGCATGTTTCTAAAATTCAGAGAAAGGTTATTTAGTAAACTAATTAAGACAGTCAATTTAAAAGACACTTCAGTCCTTTAAATTCAGGAGTGGTCCTCCTGAATTTGATCATGTGGAATCCTGATTGGCCAAAATGTAAAAACGCAACAAACATTCAATTTCTTTAATTCTAAAAATAAGTACATTACATGACCATTCTGAAAAATACTCTTGTCAAAGGTATCCGCTACCTCCTAGGCATTTTCTTCTGCCATTATACCTAGTACTTTTATCTTAATTATGAAGGTGGCCTGTAATTAGCATTTTATATGGTCAGAAGCAGTTAATAAAAATGTTATTTAATATAGGCCAAATGTACTTAAAGTTAAGTTTCCCAAAGTGTCTGAAGCTTCCATGTGTTGATTTTGGTCTGTCTTTAATATGAAACATCTATGATTTTGTAGTTAACACTAAAATACAAATCAATGATGCTTTCAAGCCAAAGCAGAACTAGACAGCTCCTGCGGCATCACTGAACTCCGTCTTCCCACTTGCTCCATCACACTGTCCGGCTAACACTGATGCTTCATAGTTTACAAGTGTAAAGTACCTACCTACATGAATTTAAAAATTGATCTGCACAAAAGAAATAAAAAAACTTTATATACAACAAACTTTTTAAAAAATACAAAAATAACATCTGTCACTTCTGTCATGCTGACAATTTGGCATATATACACATGCAGATGAAGTTCCAATTCAATTATCCTGACAGCCTGTGTAATTTAGTGTAATGAACACAATGCCGAGTTCACTGACAGAAGAGCTGTGTATTCAAAATATTTTATATACTAAATACTTCAATAGTTTCTGCATGTATAAATGCCACTTATATTTTTTGTACTACTTGATTAAAAGTGTATCTTAAGCAAGCTAATATTAAGTGCACTAAAACCCATAATTCAGGAATCTAAGGTCTTATACAAAGAAATTCAAAATGTACAAAATACAGTTATAAAAGCAAGTAACAATTACTGCCATGCAACATTTTCAACTAAAACAGCATAGAAATGCAGTTAAAATGACAAACTCAAATTTACATTAACACCCAAGATAAAAAAAAGGTCAGCAGTAAGTTCTACCAACACAAGAATTTAGAAAAAGAAACACATTCTCTTTGCTGGTATAATGTATACATGAGACCTTCTGGTCTATGGGAATAAGTCATCTTTGTCTTCTATCTCAAGAAATCAGCTGTAATGAAAGAGAAACATTTTACCATACCCAACATAATTAAGCATATATAAATTATAAACCACATCCCATTTTTCATATCAGTTTTATGACTAACCCTGGGCAGTCATTGAGAGCCATATAAAATTAGCTAAATAGGGATCTTGCTTTGGGCTGGTGGCTAGACCTGGCTCTCCAGCTGTGGAACAACTCTGAGACGTTCACTTTCCATGTATACAATGAAGACTGAGTTCAGGTTCTGCCATTAGCTATTCAAATTCTACTTCAAGGACATTTAAGGATCCAACAGGACTTACACATCTAAATATTTTGAAAAATATGCAATATTTGATATATATAATTTGTTATATAAAGTAAAGCAGAAAAAGATTGAAAGTTACCTCTTTTACAGTTGTTTTTATGAAATCTTTTCTCTCAGTTAAATCATAAGCAGGATAATTTTCATATACCTGTAACGCCAAGGGCGAACAAAGTAGATTTTAAAATCCTGTAATACTCTATCTGAATAAAAAGACTGATGCTGGGGCTGGTGAGATGGCTCGGTGGTCTAAAGCACCTACTTAGAACAAGCTAAGCTAAGCAAAGCACAGGGACCGCGGTTCAGTCCCCCAGCACCACATGCCAGCCAGCCCCGCCCCCTGGTGGGCTGAGCTGGCCACACACACACAAAATAAATAAATAAATGTAAAAAAAAAAGGAAGCATGATGCTGTATACAAAGAGCTGTCTGGATATTCTAAAAATATTCTAGTTCATCATACTGCACTATTGCAGATGTGCAGTATTCATACCATAGATGAAGCAGAAAATCAACTAACATGCAAATGTCTCAGGGCTTTATAAATTGGGAAATCAACTGGATTCATAGAGGAGGAAAGCATCTAAATAGATCACAATGAAGGGGACTAAGTGCTCAGTGTCAACAGGTTATCTGTTTAGTATCTTTCAGAGATACTCATGTATTCCCTTCTCTGTATCATCATCAAACATTCTGCTTCTGATCCCACAACTGGAACTCTGGCTTCTACTCCAAACTACTCCCTATGCTTTTGTCAGTTAAATCATTAAGATCTAATTGTCTCTGCAGTCCTTACTCTCAAATTCCTCTTTGTCAACTTTAGAGCTGTGAATCCCACTGCAGCCAGTACAGTAAGTCCCCAACTTAAGTTCACAAGTACACTGTATAATACTTTCTCAGGCAGGAATATATTACTTACGAACATTCTCCAGGAGTAGGACTTGCTGTACTAAGTCTGTTGTATATGCTCATAGCCTGTAAGCACCTTGCTGGCCTAAATCCTATCATACTTCAGGGTCAGCAACTTTTTGTACAAAGCCATGTGGTAAATAGTTTGAATTTTGTCCAGTCATGGTTTCTGTTAGAACTACTCAACTATGCTGTTGTAGTGCAATAGCTGTTACAGACAACCTTGAATGAACAGATGTGGCTGTATTATAGTGAAACTTTATTCACAAAACCAGGCGGTAGGATGGATTGGCCTAGGCTGTAGTTGGCCACTCTCACAGAGTCCATCATTTAAATTACTGTGGTTCATCATTAGCCATCTGTGAAATGCAAATTAAAACACTGAGATATCATCTCACCCCAAAAAGAATGGCTATCATAAAGAAATCAACCAACAACAAATGTTAGAGAGGCTGTGGGGAAAAAGGAACCCTTCTCCACTGCTGGTGGGAATGTAGACTGGTGCATTATGGAAATCAATTGTGGAGACTGCTTAAAAAACTAAGACTGGAAATCCCATTCAAACCAGCTGTTTGCCCTACTGGGAATTTTGCCGGAGGATCTGAAAACATCGTATCATGGTGATATATGTGTACCTATGTTTATAGCAGCACAATCTGTGATAGCCAAATCTTGGAAACAACTAAGATGCCCGTCACCTGAAGAATGGATGAATAAGACACGGTATTTTTATACAATGGAATATTACTCAGCTATAAAGAATGATACACTTGAAGCATTTATATTTAAGTGGATGCCACTTGAAGATACACTCATAAGTGAAATAAACCAGACCCATATGTGTAAATATCATATAGTCTCCCTAGTATAAGAGCTCAAAAGAAAAAATATAAATAGAAACGTATAACACAATTAAAAGGAAAGTGAGAACTTGAGGACTGGACGAGGAGGGCAAGGAGAAAAGCTGGGAGAAATGACAGGGGCAAAGGCATACATTTATATGTACAAGATGGGTAAGGCAATGATCCTGAGAAACATCAGCAGGTTTTCGAAACTAGCAGTTAATTGGTAGGATTCTCACCCTGACTATATATGCTGATACCTGTGAACTAAGCAACTGCACCGAAGATGGCAATGTTTGTAATAGTAGGGGTCATGCTTGGAATGCCTGTCATTCTGGTCTTCTGAATACGTGCTGCTTGTCATGACATGCAGGTTGCTGCTGTGTTGTCTCTCAGGTAGATGTTTGTTCAGGGGCTGGGGAGATAGCTCAGTGGATTAAGTACGTGCCTGGCAAGCTCAAGGCCCTGAGTCTGATCCCTGGTACCACAAAAAAAATAAAAATAAAAAAAGACAGTGACTGACAAACTAGATTTAGATGTTTGAAAAGGGGCTAGGGGCTAGGGAGATGGCTCAGTGGAATAAGCGCTTCCCTGGCAAGTACAAAGGCCTGACTTCAATCCCTGGTTCCACAAAAAAAAAAAAAAAAAGGAAGGGGGTGGTAAATGAAGCAGGAGACAGGAAAAGGGGTGTTGTGGGACTGTCCTGCTACAATGCTGTATATGGTTAGATTTCTAAACTGTGCAAAAATATGTAATTGTTCATCCCTACTTTTTATATACATTTTTAAATTTTTTTTCCTTCATATTCTGTAGGGACTTAAAGTTTAACATATCAATACTTGATGAAGAATACCTGTTCCATGTTATGCCTAAGATGTTTGATATTCAAAAAGATAGGTTAAGCTCAACAGCCTAGGTTGTAGGGTAATAACAATAATCTTCTCTTCTGGAGGGTTAACAACTTAAGTTTGCAGACCAAAAATTAGAGAAAAAGGAGGGCTACAAGGACAGCCAACATTTTGGCCCTAGCCTTCTAAGGTCAATTCAGACTCAGGACATAGGAGAACCTGTACTCTAACATCCTGTAACTCAGTTGTGTCCCAAATTTTCTC